TCTGGTTGCCTGGTGAGGATGAGAGGGGCCCCGGTGACTGAGCTTTCTCTCAAGTGGCAGAGACCCCCGAGTGGGAAGTGGTCACGGAGCGGGGGTCTGCTCTTTGCGACCCCTGCCCCCACCCCTGGGCTCTGGGAGAAGCCCCCGTGTAGGGGGCTGTAAGGGTCCTCTCCTGGATGACAGAGGGGTGGGGGCCAGGGCCCAGGAGGAGTCAGTTGCTGGCCTGGGGTGACCTCGCTCGGAGTGTGTGTGTGTGTGTGTGGGGGGGTGCTGGGCCGCCTCCCTCCGCGCCTGGGCCCAAACGCTGCGTCACTCCCTCCTTCCCTGCGGGTTTGGCGCTGGGGGGAGGCCGTGGGTGTTTGCAGGATGTCTGATTCAGGTCTAGCTGGGTCCCATCTGGGTCCTGGCAGGGCGGCCCTCCTGGCCGGGCAGCCTCACATCAGCCCAGCTGGGCGGCAGTAACCACAGCTCTGGGCCCAGCACGGGAGGCCTCGCTGGGCTGGGCACAGGTGTTTGCAGGTGGGGCGAGGAAGGGGAGGAGGGGCCTCAGAGCTACTAGGAAGCCTTGGCTGTCTGTAGAAAGAGCTGGAAAGCCCGGCCCTGCCATGCAACCTCATCCAATTTCCTTTTTATTTTTTGTCTTAAAAAAAATCACAGAGGGGTTTTGGGCTTGACACGTCGACAGCGGTGTTGCAGGCCTGTGGCTGACGCAGCGATCTGCGCCTGCGGGTGCGGGGGTCGCCAGCTTCAGATAAAGGGGAGCCCCCAGCCAGGGGAGGGGTTTAAATCGCCTGGGGGCTTCTCCGCAGGCCTGACTCCCAGGCCCTTGCGCCACCTACTGGTGGACGTTCAAATGGCAAGCATCGAGGTGGCAAAGGCCAGACCTGGGGGGCCACAGGATGGCAGGGCCGAGGTCGAGGTGTCCCTCAGAGGTTCTTGCATCTGACTCCCTCGCTCCGGAGATGGGATCGGGGTCCTGGGGTTCCAGTGGGGAGCGAGGGAGGCTGTCACCCAGGTCTCTCCGCTGTGACATGCTGCCGTGGTCCAGGGGCTGAGTCCCAAGCCCCTCCCTGAACCGTCCCCCCCCCGCCCCCCAGATGGGGAAGGGCTCCTTCAAGTACGCCTGGGTGCTGGACAAACTGAAGGCGGAGCGGGAGCGCGGCATCACCATCGACATCTCCCTCTGGAAGTTCGAGACCACCAAGTACTACATCACCATCATCGATGCCCCCGGCCACCGCGACTTCATCAAGAACATGATCACTGGCACGTCCCAGGTGGGCAGGGCTGCAGGGGGCCGAGGGGGCACCCGTTCAGTACACACCTGGGGGCCCGGGAGCCTTGAGGGGTAGCTGGGTTTCCTCTGCTCCCTTGCCAGGGCACAAGGAGAGAGAGGGAGAGGGGAGGGAGAGCGAGATGACCTCATCACACCGGGACAGAGTCCCCCACAGAGCTGACCAAGGGCCCCATCATCTCAGCTAGGCAGAGGTGCCCACAAGGACC